CAAAAATGTATGCGTGTCACCGCGGCAGAAGGTAAAAGGTGAAGACGAGATGCGGACAGAGATACTCAGAACACGCCCGGGAGAAGAAAGTGTTTTCAGGTGATAGCGTTCAGCGACGTTTTTCAGGAAATGGCCCCGGGAACTGAGTTTTCGGCGACTTTGAACCTGCAAAGCTGGGGTGAGAGGAACGTGGTGGGCAGAGGCGTGGAGGGGGAAGGGTACGGCAGCGCTGTCTTTCACGGAACTTTCCACACTGACGAAGTGTTTTATAATCTGCACTGTTGGGCATGGCAGGCACAAACCACGTGTGCCTAATGTGATGACGGAGCTGAATTTTAAAAATTTTATTTCATTTTAATTATTTTAAACAGCCATATGTGGCCAATGGACAGTGCAGGGAGTACGTATGAGATAATTTCCAACATGTAGAAAAGTTTGGGTGGTTTGGTAAAGGTATTTAATGTGTTTTTCCCCAGGCTGGTTGGCTCAGAAGACTTTGGAAAAATGTGCACCTTTTTCTTAAAAAGGCCTACTACAGCCATGTCCCAGCACACCACGTTAATCTACTCCACTGTTTACTATGCAGGCTACCACAGACTGTCACATACTTTATCTCAAGTGTTATTTACCAGCCAGGGACAGAAGTGGGAACGTGGCCCCCAATTCTGTAACTCTTCCCCCTAGTCCCACACCCATGGGCTGAGCAGTACAATGAAAAGCCCAGATTCCCCAAGTCACTTCTCAGAGGACAGCTGACTAGGGTAGCAGTCTAATCCGCTTTGGGCTGTGTGCTGAGCAAGAGATGCCCTCTGGTTAAAACACTGAGTTCTGGGGCTGTTTGTTACAGCAGTAAGTGTTAGTCAAAGTAAAATAACACACAGCCCAGTTTTCTTTCTAGGGTTTTTTTTCTCACCGTAAGAGACTTAAAGTGAACAACCATTTTCCTCTTTAATTATAACTACCTGGTAGCACTGGTGTTATATATTTCATTATTTTAATAATAACTCAGATTAAACCACTTATCTGAATTAAATCACCTCAATTTCTGTGATTCGCCCTCTAATTTTCTAATTGTTAATTCTTTGGTTGTCAAGTCAGTGTTCTCTAATATCCATCTCTAGTTTTAGACCCAGAAATTAAATTTAGATCTCATCCATGTTGAATGCAATTAGAAATGTTCACTTTCTATTGTGGACACGCCAGAAGTTAAGATTCCGTATTGCTGCTTTGACAAAGTAAACTAGTCTAAGGAGAATTCTCTATCTTGAATTTGATCAGGAGAATTCATGATATTTATTTTTTTACTTAAAAGACTGTATTTGTTTATTTGACAGTGAGCGAGACAGAAAGCAAGAGAGGGAACACAAGCAGGGGGAGTGGGGGAGGGGGGAAGCAGGCTTCCCGCTGAGCAGGGAGCCCAATGTGGAGCTCGATCCCAGGACTCTGGGATCACGATCTGAGCTGAAGGCAGACGCTCAACAACTGAGCCACCCAGGTGCCCCAAGAATTCATGGCATTTATTGCTATCTTCACCCAAAGCAGCTAATAATTAAATTCTCCCACTACACACACGGATTGGTATTTATCAGAAAGTTTACACAAGCATTAAGGAAACTGTGAGGTAACAGGCTTTGTTATCCAAACAATTCTTTGGTATGGGATGACAACTATTCAGAGGCTGTTCACACTTGGAACATTTTCTTCTTAAATTTTCGATAGGTATTACTAAATTTTCTTGTTGAGGTGCCACAGAGACTTGTGAAGCCCTTGATTATTTGCTAATAGAAGTCTGCTTTCCCCCTAATTATAATTCTGGCTAACTAGCACTGTCAACAGTAACAGGAATTCTGAAATATCCCAATGTAAGTTAGAAACAGAGCACCCTCTTGAGCAGCGGGCTGGACTGCCAACCCTGACAGTAGACACACATCAGAAACACCAGAGAGACCAAGCTGTGTCCATGTGGTTAGAACAAAATGGACCAAAATTTAGCCTTCCTTCACTACCGGGAAACTTGCATTCTTGATATTAAAAAAACAAAAAATCGCACGGGTTCTTCTTTCAAACAAACCCAAACCAAAACCAACATTGCCAAAAAGGAGTGGAGGACTAAACATAACTGATGTGAAATATAATGAATATTTTTGGTGTCCCTTAACACATGAGGCATCAACCACTGGACACTAATAATCACTAGTACATTTGTCTCTCCTGACAAATAGCACAGGATCTAATTAGACTCTAGCGTGTTTAGGTGTTTCCACAACCACTGCCGTATCAATCAACTTTCACGGATTAATACAACAAACATACGGTCCACGGCCTGAGAGCAGATGCAGCTTCACTGAGGACTGTCCCCAATCCCAGTGTTGTGTTCCACGAGTCGGCTACGCTGACCACTGCAACTCGTTGGCAGGCAGTGACGGTGACACAATTACAGGAGTCCCCTCTCGCACAGGAATCACCTTATTTTTATGCCACTCCAAATAAAAAAAAAGAAGTGCTTTCTGCAAAATTTCTCTTATTTTTTTTCTGTTCTAATTGAACCCAGATCTAATCTCTCTTTCGGCATCACTAATGGGGAGGTAACAGATCATCCTTGATATCTCTGGGGTTTTTGTTTGTTTTTTTCCCTCGGCCCTATCTCTAGTGGAAAGTAGAAATACAATCTGTGGAGGTACATAAAGCAAAACCGTGGTCAGTGCAACTGCCATTTCTGTGGAGTGTTTTAAAATATGAAAGTTCTCTTCCCTTACCTCTTTATATGTTTGAATTTATTTAGCTATTTAAAAATTGTATTTATTTGAGAAAGAGAGAGAGCGAGTGAGCATGGGGGGGGCACAGAGGGAGAGGGAGAAACAGACTCCCCACTGAGCAGGGAGCCCAACGCAGGGCTCGATCCCAGGACCCCGAGATGATGACCTGAGCCAAAGGCAGAAGCTTAACCGACTGAGCCACCCAGGAGCCCCTACGTATGAATTTATGTGATTTTATATGAATTTATATGACAGTAACATCCAAAATATTTCTCTATAGCTGTAAATTTATAGGGAATTTTAAAAGTGAAAATTTAAGTAGAAGGAAAAAGTAACAAAGGGCTGAAAAAAGACAAGCAGAGGGATGACAAAGTGGCATCAAATCGGGCATCTCATAAAAACAGTGTGAAGTACATGTTGCTTCCCGTTGCACAAATGTAAGAGATTAAGACTCGGAGCAGTGAACCTGTCCAGGGTCACAGGGCTCTAGAATGACGCGGCTGGGACCCGATCCCCAGTACCTCTCACCTGAGAGCCCACGCTTGAGCCCTTTGGACACTCCGCTATCACACAGGCATAAATGGGAGGCACGGTCGCAATGGTTAGGGAAACAACCCATACGTTACGTAATCATGTCAGCTCCGCTCTGCTGTGCTTGCTGCTCATGCTTCTAGGCTGCTTCCAGGCTGCTTCCCTATTTTTAATCCTTGCTTCCATGCTCCTTATCCTACTCTGCACTAGTGAAGACTGTTTCTCTCCCTGCTTCAAATGTAAGGTACCAACGGGAGCTTAACACCTGACCTTGACTTAAATGATGCTTACATAATTAACTCTTTGTTTTTTTTTTTTTTTAAAGTTAATGATTTTAAAAACTTCAACCTCCCTCAGGGACTCTCCAGAACGCGTCCTGAAAACTCCGCCGGTATTGATTCTCCAGGAACCCGCAGGAAGGCTTGCTGTGAGCACAGAGAGGCGGCCCCATTGTTTGCTTCCTGGCAACAGCTATTTATACCTAATTGTGTCGTCTGTTTGGACCTGGATGTTGTCTCTGCCCATACCCAGAAGTAGTTCAACTCCAAAAAGTCCAACTATTGTTTCTTCTTCTTATCTTTCAAATCTGCAACAATCTCTATCATCACATTTTCATAGTCTAAATGAGCCAAAAAAAAAAAAAAAAAAAAAAAAGAGCAGTATCCTTTTGGAAGAAGCAGCTCAAACTGCTACTGAGGCAGGTAAGTCCAGATGTGCTCTCTGGATCTCCAAGATGAGCAAGGGCGAGTGAGAGGTGAGGGGTGGCTGATGGCAGGAGCTGAATGCAGATAACATGTTACTGAGGGCTTTTGTTTTCCTCCCAACGAGCCCTAGAAAACCAAATTCCAAAGTAACCATGCATTGAGAGGGGTGACCTTCATTATCTCAAATTCAGGAAAAACTTAATCTCTGTAGATCCCGAATTTCTGAAACCACGGCCCTAAACCACGGCCCTTGGTCTCCAGCTGCTCCAGTAAAGCACATGAAGTGGTCTGACCACTCTGGTATGTGCCACGACAGGGGACAGCACAGCTCGCACCTTTGGCCATTTTCTCGAATCAGTCAGGGAGGTACTGTGCAGTGGGCACTGAAAATAATGGACAGTATCCTTAAGCTTATTTCTTGCCTTGTTAAAAGACCGCAAAACCAAGCAATGTGTTTTTAAAAGCAAAACAAAACAAAATGATGCAATGTGCATTATGACCAATTAAACCAACCATTTAAAGATATCATTAAGAAAGCACTAGCTACCTTCCTGGTTTTAAACAATAAATCCCGTAAACATGTCAATTGGAAAAAAAATTAATTTTCCCGGAATCATGCATTTGTAAACCTAAAGCAAACAGCGCCCTGAATGCTACTGAAAAGGAAGTGGCCTCTCCTGGGGGTGGGGGTGGGGGGGCCAAAAAAAAATGGAAATGAGAGAATATACAAAATGAACCTGGGAAGGTTTCCCTGAAACGAGGACTGGCCTCCTAAGTCCCCTTCCTGTATTAATTACTGCAAAATCCCTGGAGTTCTATCAGTTAATGAACCGCGAGCTAGAAAGAGCCACCGAGAACGGCGTTAAGCTTTCATTTCAAAGAACTTAGAGCGTGTGAGGTGCCCGAGCGAACAGAGAGCAGACACACGGCACGGTCAGACAGACACGCTCAGCCTGGCTGATGGGAACACGGATTGGGCGCTTGTGCCCCCGGGCACAGACACACTGACCTTCCTTGAGACTTTTCTGGTTGCTCCCCTCAAGGCATTCCTTTTCTTTTAATGGCTCGAAATCCCCAGCGGTCAAAATCTCTGGGAAGCCCTGTTGCTGCTTCTTGGAGCTATCGATCATGGTGAGAGGCTTCTGGAGACAGGCAGCATCCAGCAGGAGCGAAGCGCAATACGCCGAGCAGCAGAGACCAGCGCTCAGCACGCTCTGGTCCCCCGTCCCCGGATCCTGGGTCCTGGGTTCCTCCTCACAAGACCCCGGTCGCTGGGCAATTATGTCGTTAAGCAGCCGAAGGCAGCCATTCCCATTCAGTTCCCAGCCTGACCCGCAAATACACTCGTGCTGCTGGGAGCCCTGAACTCTCTCCCACGTTGGGAGGCAGAGCCCCAGAGGCACGATGCTGAAATCCCACCCCTTTTCCCAGCCAGCCCCCTTCCCCTTGCCATTCCCGCTTCCCCCGCGCGCTGGGTACTCCCAGCTGCAGTGTGATGGTCCGAATCATCTGACAAACACTGAGTCAAGCAGTTAAAAATAAATCCTGTAGTTGTTAAAAGAGAAGACTTTGCTGATACCTAAGAAGACAAATTTGCTGCCTGTGGTCTCTCGCCGGCTCTCTATAAACACACCCGCAGGCTATGGAAATACTTTGTCGGCCAGACGAGCACATTCATTCCTCAGTGAGTTCTCCGCGCCACGAACCGCACAGTCCAGGGCGCCCGAAGGAAGCGGGTCTTCTCCCAGCGGAGGGACCGCGCTGCACAAACAAGCCGCCAGCGGCACTGCCCAACTCCCCAAGTTCTTTTGTGGCGTCCGGCTCCTCCTGGCAGAGCCAGGGCTCTTTGTAACAGGGAAACGTACTGCAATTGCGGCTTTCTGCCGTCACCAGTCCGGACCCCAGCGGCAGTTTCCCTTTGTGCCACTAGTCGGCTGACCGAGCGAACATCGCCATGATTGTTCCGAGGGAAAGATCTCCCTCCCCGGTATTAAAGGCAGAGACAGCAAGAGAGCTTCTGTTTCAGAGCCGACTCAAGCGGCGGCCAGCCCAAGTTTGATCTCACGTGGGCTTTCGGCCACGGGCAGCCCTCCTGCCCGCCACGGACTGCTGCACCCCCCCCCCCCCCCCGCACATGAGGGGCGCTGCTGGGAGATCTCTAGGGATGGCAACGCCAGGCAAATGCGGAGACAAGCCTTTCTGTAGACCCAGCAAATACATGTCCACCCGTAAGCGGCCAAAAAGCAGCATTTTTTTTTTTTTGAAATGGCTCAAAGTATGCACCTTTTGCAAAAGGGTTCCCAGAAAAGCCATGCGAGGCTGTTAAGAGTGGTAGATGGAATGTGCTTCCGTGAGGGCTACGTTTTGTTCACTTTTTTATAACCGACATCTACCAGAGTGCCTGGAAGACCAGTTCTCAATAAGTACTTGTTGCACGATTAAGTAAATGAATTAAAGCAGGAGAAGCTGCAGTAGGAAAACTTAATTGTTCAAAATTCTAAAGAAGTCCTCCATCCATGCCCAATAGTCAACGATTTTAGATGAAATGTTCTCTAAAGGAAGCACATTTTCTCTTCGAAAGAGAAATACCCATACATTTTGAGTGTGCATCTGACACGATCCTTCTGCGGGATGAAGAAAGGCTTACATTTTCAAAGCCAGAAAAGCCCAGTATTGCTGTCCCCACGGAAACACAGATGGGAACTGGATGAAGATTCTGTCCTTTGTCCCTGGTTCCGGGGCTGGTGTTCTAGAAAGATAGCGATCTACGCTTCTCCAGCATCTCTTGAGAATGGGATTACACAACACAGACATGGCTCTTGTCAACTGAAATTCCTTCTGAAGCAATGGAAGCCCAGTGCTGGGAGTCCACACCCCCGCGGGAACAAACAGTACTGAGCTTCTCACACTTCTCGAAAGCGCGCTAGAATGCTCTGCTCCTTTCTGATCCCAAGGCCTCTGCTCTACACTGACTATTCCTGCATCTCTGAAGGAGGAATAAGCACCTTTTTGAGGACATTCTTTCGGTCATTCACCTTTTTCGCAGTCTGGCGAAGTTTATCTCCCTTAACCCCCAAGAGCCCTTTCTGACTACGATGATTATTGGTACATTCTAGCCATTTTACAGACCAGGACCAAAGTCACAGAGCAGCTGCAGAAGGTCTGGAGTTCAGCCAGTCTGAGTTCTCCGAAGCCCGCGTCTCTCTCCTACTGCAACGCTTGCTGTCCTCCAGAACATGCTCTGTCTCCAGGCTTTCGTCTGATCTCGGGACAGGTTTTCACAGCAGAAGCCATAACTTTTATGGCCTCCTAGTAATTCTGCTCCTGGTGAGGGAGAAGGAGAGCCAACATAACCCTGCTCAAATGCTTTCATGAAAGCACTTCCACTTTTCCTGAAACGAGAGCAGCAGCGGCCAACTTTATCCAGCGCTTGCAGGGTGACCCAGTCTAAGTGCTTTTCACAAGTCACCTCATGTGTCCTGCTGCCGGGCCTGGGGGTTCAACATCATCACAGCTCACAGATGAGGAAACCAAGGCCTCGAAAAATTGACTATTTTTGTCAGAAGTCCCCTACCATATACGTGGTGGCCAGGATTCCCAACCCGCGGCCTGGCTCCAGACCCCACATTCTTAATTACTTTTCAAAAATAACAACAAAAACAAACCCTAATATTTTCTTTCTCAGCATGCTGCTTTTTAAACCCCACTCAACTGTGCTGAGGCCACAAGTTTAGAAACCTGGATAGATACAGAACCACACCAGCTACTTCTATTTTTTAAGAAAAGAATGGCTGTGTGCGTGTGTTGAGTATGTTAAAAAATAAAACAGTTCTCTTTTAAGGATCCTCTGTAAGCTTATTATTTTTGCATCTGATAAATATAAAAAAATTTCAATTAGGAAACACACTGTCCTGCTGTGGGTTTATATCTAAAGTCTTGTCTCTGTAGTTATGAGAGAAAAAAATAATAATTTTTTTAGTGGTGAATATGCCTGAAAGAACATTTATTTTGGTATTTTTTAAAAATGTGAACTAATTTCAAATTCACAGAGCATTGTCTTCCTGAACCATCTGTGAGAAGGCTCTGACAGGACACTTCTTTACCTTAAGCCCTCCGGTGTATAATTCCTACAAACAAGGACACTGTCCTATAAAACCCCAATATAACCATCGACATCAGGAAATCAACACCAATTTATCACCATCTAAAACAGAGACTCCACTCAAGTTCCACTAATTGTCCCAACATCATCCTTTAAGGCAAAAGGATCCAAACCAGGATCACGTACGGCCCTGAGTTATTTCAAGTCTCTTCAGTATTCCTTCATTTGTGAACAGATCCTCAGTCTCTCTTGACTCTTCCTTCCTTAAATTGTGAAGATTACATACTAGTTATTTTTGTAGAATTGCCCTCAGTTTGAGTTTTCATGACCACACTCCAGTTACAGCAGGAATACCACGGGGCGGGCGGGGTGGGTTCTCTGCATCCTACTGTGTGGGGCACAAATCCAGTTCGTCTTCTAACTGACAATATTTGTTTTGATGAACGGATTAAGACGGTACTGGCCAAGTTTCTTCATTGTAAAGTCAGTTTTTCTCTTCGTAATGAATGATTTTGTGGGGTTGAACTATTTGTTACATAGGATGGTCACCAAATGGTGACTTAGAAAATTCTATCATTGCTTCTGCATTCATTAGAGGCACATCTCAGCGTAAGGAGACCCCCCCCCATGTGGATTATGGCACCTACTTCCATCACCGTGGACTCACGGATTCCTGTTTTCTTCAGTGGGTGACAGCATGTTCCTACCATTTAGTGTGATGCTCAGATTATTCCAGATTTGACTAGTGGGGTCCTTTCCTGCTGCCTTCAGCTCCTCTGAGCGCTGGATTACCTTCTGGTTCAAGGTATTCCAGGCTCATCTGCTACCTTCCCTGCTCCGCTGAGAAACCAAGGACCCAGTAGCAGGTGTCCTCATTGCTATGAGGGTGTCAGCGTTCCCAGGCCTCCTCTGTAGGAAGTCAGGGAATATGTCTGTAAGTTTGTGTGTGAACATACACGCACACACATACTTATGGCTCTCTGTATTAACAGATGTAAATGCAGACCTATATTTAAGTATGTACATCTGGACTTATTCATATACACACACTGAAAACCACGAGCTCACCCTGATGCCTCCACTTCCAATCCAACACCAAAGGTTCTTTCTCAGCTTCTCTCACGTATTTGTAACCCTTTTCTCCTATAGGGAGAATCTTGTCTCCGTCACCCCACTCATGGATACCCTGTTCATCTCACTACTGTCACTGCTGTACCAAACCCTATGCAGATGTCTCCTCACCCCAGGCAGGCTCCGAAGCCCTCCCCAGATCACTGCCCCCACCCCCAGAGGGCAGCTGCCTTGCTCACCCCCACATAATGCCTTTTGGACTGAATTAGGGACGAAGGGAGGAGAGGCACCTGCGTTCTCTGAGTGAAAGCGGCCCACAGTTACCCCGTGAACTGCTTGCAGTAGGTCTGTCCTTGCTCCGTACTCTATGTACAACATCTTCTTCAGTGTCGTTGGGCTCTGCTGTCACGAGGGATGTGTAACTTCAAAGGATAGGTGATTAAAGTCACTTTGGCTAGGGTAAATCTGCTTCCACGGTGTGTGTCTGTACACACACCCAAAACGGCTGTTTTCCTATGAAAGAGAGTTCCATAAATCAAGTCAATTTTCCCAGTACTCCAAGCATAGATATTTAATAAGCGTGAGAAAAACTGTATGACTTGGAGACTAGGAATAATCCAGGAAAGGCTTCAGGGACTCGGAACAGAAACAAACACGGCTCAAGGGACCTACACAAGAACTTGGCAGTCCCAACATATGCTCACAAAGCTGCTGATAAAGAAGATATGGCTGGGATGACGCTGCACTGGGGTAAGCACAGACCTGAGAACATCACCAACTACGCAGCGTTTCACCAATGTAAAAGCATCCGAGAGGGATAGAGACGATAATTAGTAACAGCATGGAAACAGACTGCTAAATATTGAGTTGTCCTTTTCCTATAGCATTCCTGACACCAGACTGAGAGAAGATGCCTCTTCTTCTCATCTCCTGCATCTTGGTACTTGGAACCGGGCCCTCCAGTAGCCCTCCCGGCGGAGCAGACGCAGGCCCTGGTGAGGTTGCCTCCACAAGGCCGGAGCCTGTGTCACAGAAGCCATGCAGAGGAGGGCAACTACACCTGACACGTTTAGGGAGAAAAATGTCAGTCCAGATTACACCTCAAGTTTTCCCAAAGGGTGCCGTATTTTTAGTGAAGTATGTATTTGAGCCTTAATTCTCCCTCCTTTTAAAATTATAAAAACATTATAAAAATATTCTATCTTCAGACAACTACTAAATGGTTATGGTAAGTCTCAACAATTTAATAATTATTAAGCCCAACTTAAGAATCCTGGTATTTTTTTTTTTCCTGCAAAAAAGGACACAGTGTGAGCTCTGAAACCAGACAGCATATCTTAAAAGCCCTTCGTTTTTGTTCCTTTTTAAATACATGGGTATTGGGGCGCCTGGGTGGCTCAGTGGGTTAAGCCTCGGCCTTTGGCTCAGGTCATGATCTCGGGGTCCTGGGATCGAGTCCCGCATCGGGCTCTCTGC